GGACGATTTTTTGTTCGGCCAGGACCATCGAGGAGGACCTTGAATCATCCTGGGACAAGGGACACGCACGACATCTAGAGTTAAGTCGGGCGTGCTCCCCTACAGGCGGATTTTGGACGAAAAATGAGGAATAGTCAAAGAGATTCCAACAATGTTCAAAGACAGTAGTCAAAACATTGTCCCTATACCATTGTTGCGTACTATTGTGGACTATGTTTGAACATTCCTTCTGTCGAGGGACGTGCCCGACTTCAGACGAGAGACACGCACGAACTCTAGAGCGATGGCCGAGCGACGTCCGAGCGATGGCGAGGCCTGCGCGGGGCCCCAGGGAGCCGGGCCCGCGAGGGCTCCAGTGCCCGCGCCGCTCGCCGGGCCGCGGCGTCGGAGGGCGTGCCGCCGTGGAGCCAACGTGGTCCTCGGGGGAGACTCGAGCGGGGCTGAGAGTCAGAGATCGACTACCCCAGATTTCGTAATAAAGGGAGGGGGGTCTCGTTTCGGGGGGGGGGTCTCTTCCAGGCCATCTTGGAGGGCCTGGGAGGGTCTGGGGACGATGTTTTGGAGGATTCTCCCACGGGGGGGGTCTGAATTGGCTTGTCTTGGAGGGTCCAGACCCCCTCTCTTTTATTACGAAATCTGGAGTAGACGTAGGAGTGACCTTTCGCCGGAGTGACCGTTGGTGCGGGCACAGGTGGGTCCCCAGACGGCTGAGAACGAAGCAGGAGCAGCGGCTTACGCGCCCAGGTTCGATCCCCCCGCGTGCTGCCACGGAGCCAGCTGGTCCTCGGGGAAGGCTTGAGCATCGGAGGAGGAAAGGGTACCCATACCTCTACCCTCCGCCCGTTTTTCCTTTTTTGGGAATCCTGGGCATTCCTCGTCGCCACCGCTGGATTCGCCTCGAAATCCTAGTCAGAACGCACCCCAGGAGAGGTCCGGGGAGTAGCGGTATCAGTACCTTTTGGTTTCCCCAGAGCGGGGCTGAGAGTCAGAGCGCGCCCTCCTTAACATCGCTTGGACGACTGCATGTTTTCCCCAATCACGGCCTTCGAGGAGCTTTTGAGTTCACCCTTGGGAAGAGAAAAGCACGCGCGCGGAGCCGAAACATTGCACAGGGGGGTTGGACGCCCGAGCGACGGCGGGCCTCCTGCAGGACCACCAAGAAGGGGGACGTCAGGGGGGTGCATCAAGGGGGGGGGGGCAGGGAGTGCATCAATCAGGCGATCGCAAACATGGATTAAGGGGGCGTGGATCAGCGACGGGTCCCGTTTCGCCGGGAAGCCGTGGATTTCCGCGGCCGAGCGAGGCGGCACCGGCCGCATTTTGGGGAGGGCACCTCCCCCGATCCATGTCTGCGCGCCCCCGAAGAAAGGGGGCGGTTCAACTGCGCGGGTTAAGTTAAAGTGCGCAGAGTGGTTGCACCCCTTGACGCCCGTTTCGGGGTGCCTGCAGACCTGACCCTGCGGCCCTACACAGGGGAAGACGGGGCCCGAGGTTTCGTCGCCGTGTTCGGACCCTGACCCTCGGGGCCCTCCCCCGGCCCCAGGGCTGCCGCGCCACGACCCGGGACGAGAGGCTGACTCTCGGGGCAGACGGGCCCCGAGTTGTCGTCGCCGTGTTCGGGCCCTCGGGCCCCCCCCCCCCGGCCCCAGGGCTGCCGCGCCACGACCCGGGACGAACGGCTGACTCCCGGGGCAGACGGGCGACGAGTCTCTGCTGAGCCCCGATTCGGGACGAGGGGCCGATGCTCGGGGCAGACGAGCCCAGAGTGCTTGCCGCCACGCTCGGACCCCCGCCGGCCGGGGCCGTCGGGCCACGATCCGGGGAGAAAGAAAGGCGGAGGAGAAGGAGGGGGAGGAAGAGGGAGGAAAAGAGGAGGAGGAGGCGGAGGAGGAGGAGGCGGAGGCGGAGGAAGAGGAGAAGGAGGAGGAGGAGAGGAGGAGGAGGGAGGAGGGAGGAGGGAGAGGAGGAGGGAGGAGGGAGGAGGAGGGAGGAGGGAGGAGGGAGGAGGGAGGAGGAGGAGGAGGAGGGGGAGGAGGGAGGAGGAGGGAGGAGGGGAGGGGGGGGAGGAGGGAGAGGAGGGAGGAGGAGGGAGGAGGAGGAGGAGGAGGAGGAGGAGGAGGAGGATGTTTTACTTCTGCCCGTCCCCTGCGGGTCGCCCTGCGGGGGTGGACAGACCTCCTACCCCTCCTCGTCCTCCCTCCTCGTCCTCCTCCTCCTCCACCGCCTCCTCCTTCTCCACATTGGCCGCTCCTCTCGGGGAAGGGGGTCGCGCCGGTCTGGGCGCGGCCCCGAGGTCCGCGGCCAAAGTTGGGAACAGCCCTGCCAGCGGGGGCCAGGGCCCCGCTCTCCTCGGCAGCGGCTTTCAAGCAGTGGCGAGGCGTCCTGGCTTGCCTATCGTCGCAGGTGGACAGACCTCCTACCCTGACACGTCGGTTGAGGAATTGGCCGTTTTCGGTTCGCGAGGGGGCGTCGCGGCCGTCGTTTTTGCGGGCCCAGGTCCGTCGGTTTCGGTCCCAGGCCGTTTCCACCAAGGGGAGGCTCACTAAAGGGAGGTTTGTCCACCGCCGATTCGGGGAAGGCTCAGGAAACTTCTCGAAGGGCCAGGGAGCTTCGAGCCTTCCGAGAAGGCCCGCCCCTCGCTTCCCCCCCGGGGCGCGCCGCCGACGACGACGGCATGGGAGGCTCCAAGATAATGAGAAGCAAGCGCCAGCAAGGTCTATCGCCTCGCCGCCTCCACGGCGTTCCCCGCCATGAGGTTGGGGTGTTGAGACCGTCTGGAACTACGTACCCTGGGGACTTGTTGAGTTCGCCTCGGGTATATCCGAGGCTTTGACAAACAGCGGTTGCGCAGGAGCCCAACACGACAATCAGGTCACATGCGGTTGCATGATCTGTCGCGCTGCCAGCATGTGCACTGTCTCGCAGCTGTGTTTGAGTTGCGAGTGTTGCACTCACGGTTTTACAGCCTGTGACTCCTGATGTTTAGCGATGCGTGTGTCCACACGTGCCGCGCATTCGCACCCAACATGCTGTCACAGAAGAAGGACAAAGGGAGATAGTACTACATCGTTGTGCGTAATCGTTGGGAGCATGTGGAACTAACAGCGGATTCATCCAGGCACAGTGTTCGCAATGAACTTCTCGTCATGGCATGCCAGCGAAGATTTAACTGCAAGTCGGTGTGTGATATGGTGCTCTTGAAGAACTTAGGCAAGCAACCTATGCACACGATTCAAGAGATCAGGGATAAGGAACTGTGTTGCTTGTCCGCAGCAGGTCTTGTTGTCTCTCTTCGACTCGCCCTCTTCCCTTCGATTACAGCCATGCCCATACTCTGGCACTGATGCCGCCAGGTGCAAACCTACAAGTATGTAGGCGAGGGGATGGGGCGATTCAACAGGGAGCCCCAGCCCGTCAGTACGCGGAGGCATATGAAGAGGCGGAAGAGTCGGGGCCCCCACGTGCACGGTGTCAGTCGGTTGCGCCGCCTTCCCAGATCTCCGACAGCTTGACCCTCTCGATGCGCGAGGCTCTGAGCTCTCGACCCCACCCCTCGCATGGATTTCGCGCCGCGAGTTGGCTTTTGTGGGGCTCGTTGCCTGCGACAGACCAAGGCCAGGCATCACCTGCACACGTCAGATGAATAATGCAACAACCGACATCACGGGCAGACATTGCGAACATACACCTCGACCTACGGAACTTCCTTGGTGTGGAACGCTGGAAGCAAGCTACAGTGGTGGCGCGCATCGAGAAACCATGCCTTCCTGTTAGTCCGGGCCTTCTGGGCGTCCTCGCTCCGCGCGCTGCGCTCCGGGCCCTCGGGTGCACCTCGCGCGCCGGTCTTCGGGGCTGGGTTTTTCTTGCGGCCGCGCGCGCAGTGCAGTGGTGTGCGCTCCTGGTCGGGGGAGGTCGACCCTGCCGGCTCGTTCGGGCACCCGGCGCGAGCACCGCAGAGCCTAGAGCACCCCGGGAGCCTCTCCCGCGGGGGTCGCCATGCCCTCCCTGCGTTGTGCCGCCTCGTCGTGCCCCTCCTCCCTTGGCATCGCTCGGACGTGTGCCTCTGTCTCTCGGCGAGGACCATCGAGGAGTATCCTCGACCATCGGGCCCAAAACACGCACGAAACCGAGCAGTGCACGGGGAATGGACGTCCGGGCGATGGCGAGCTCCCCGTCCTCGTCTTCAGTTTCCTCGTCGGTGTCGTCGTTTTTTTTTTTTCCCCCTCTTCGGCCTCCTGCTCACACGGGCTCGGCCTCCTTTTTCTCCTCGCCCTCCACGCCAGTCCTCCTCCGCTTCATCTCGGCCTCGGCCTCCTGGTCCTCGTCGCCGATCTCGTCCTCGTCCCTCGTCCCCATCTTGGCCATCCTCCCCGTTCTCCTCTTCACCCTTCCTCATCTCTCCCCATGGGCCCATGGGGGACACCAGACCAGACCTTCAGAGACAGCCCCTAGAAAGTGCCCTAGACCTTTAGAGATGGTTCTGGTGCAATTCCTTGCGCAATAGTCGCGCACGCTTCAGGAAGCAGCATGTTTCGCCCCTGTTTGGTCAGGCTCATCTGAGAACTTGAGGGCCTTCGAGTGGGTTTCAGAGGGATGCGCTTGCGGTCGGATTGATTTGGAAGGCGCTCCAGCAGGGTTCCAATAGGGCCCCTCTTGCGCCACCCAGATGGCCAAAGAGGGCCACATGAGGCCGCCATGATAGCCCACGCCGCCCAACATGTGCCTTCTACATCATGTCTTAGACATCGGACGATGGCGGCGGTTAGTTTTTGTTCTTCCGATCTGCTTGCTCTCAACGAGCAATCAAAGGATGGTAAGCGACCGATGCATCTTGGGAGCCAGCGCAAAGAGGTGGACCATTGGTAATGTCGATAATGAGATACTTTGTGGACCAGGCTCAGAAGTTTGACGGAATTGAATCAGTTGGGGCATGAGGTATCATGTGTGGCGTCCTTGTGTGTGGAGCATCCTCAGGAGGAGTTCACCAGCGCCGTGTTCGGATGGCGCCCGCGCAAGTGCGTCCTCTGCTTGTGCTTGTGGGGAGGGGGTGGGGGGAGCACGAGAAATGCTTGCTTTCCTTGCCACGGTGTTCCCCACATGTGCTAGGTCGGCAGTTCAGGAGTCCTGCCTGGGCGGGTGAGACCAGCACCGTGGCGACGCGGACCGTTAGCCATCGACTCTCGACCGCCTCTAGCGCTCGCAGCGGTCCCTTACTTATAGCATCTTTGGGGGGCCTGTCTTGCCCAGTGAATTGCACTATGTCCTTGCACTTCGACGTTACTTCGACGTGGATTCGACACGCACTCGGCGCGGATCGCGGCGCGACGGGACACACGAGATCCCCCGGCGATGCAACGCAAGATCCTTGCATGGCTGCGCACAGCAGGCCATGCGCCGCCACCCCCGCCGTCCCTGTCAAAAAACCACTTGCCAGTGATCGCGGGGTGGCCGCGCATGATCCAGATTTAGCCGCGAGGTGCATGTTGTATTGCTTCTGTCAGGGATGGTAGCCCTGCGCACCGCAGGCAATACGCTGACACCCCCGCCGTCCCAGTCAAAAACAATGCAAAGTGCTCGCGGGCCTCGCGAACATGACTCAAGATTTTGCCCCAAAGTGCACTTTGCATTGTTTTGCCGGGTTTACCGCGCATGCTCCAAATGTAGAGGCAGAGTGCGGTTAGTATTGTTTTCTTTTACGAATAGTAAAACAATATGATTTCATGATTTCTAATTGGCTGTCGGTCGCGTGGGGGAGGGGGTGTATATGAATAGGGAACAGCGTTAAACCCTTCCCCGAAGGGGAAGAAGGGAATTGGACGAGAAGCCTCCCTAGACCACCTACGCCAAGAGGGCTGGTAGGATTTACTGCAACAGCTTCGGTACGATCATCTGGAAGCTTAGCGGATGGAGCCAGCACTCCGTCGGGAAGCCACCCGTGACTTTGTACCGCGCGACCCTCTCCGCAACCGCGTGCCAGCCCCACGGTTGCCGCGACCTCAATAACCGTGGACGCGAACAATGGACCCACCCAATTCCAAGGGCGCGCGGCCACAAGGACGAGAAGATCCCTTGGCTGGCCCAGCTGCCAGCAAGGGATTACTACAAGTCGGCTTCAGCCAGGGTGGTGGACCCCCGCCCTGGCGTCAACTGTGACGAGAGGCGCCAGGACCTGCACCGCGAGCGAGGCGCGCCTAGCCTTCGCCAACCCGACTACATCTACTACAATGCAGTTGGGAGGCATAGCCCCATCAGGCACAGGTCGGCGAAGAAGTTGCCCGCGGGCGACGTCGAGGCCAGGCTAGGAGCCTGGGCCGTCAGTGACGAGGAGACTAGCTTCCGGGAGAATTATCGGTTCATGATGGACGGAGACCGTCGCCGGGCGAAGGGGCACTTGACTGGCCGCGAGAGCGAGATGATGCAGGAGGCGAAGGCCGGCGGGAAAGGCAATCGGCCGAATTCAAGCTCGAGGAGGCCCAGGTGAGTGAGCATGCGTAACCAGTGGTATCGAGAACGCCGACGGCGCATCACCGTCCGCTCCCTGGGAGTTTGACGCATCTGGTCGGTAGCCTCTTGGAGGCAGTTTTGCAGCTTTTTGGGGGGCTCTTGGGCGCCGTTTGGGGTCCTCTTGGGGCCTCTGTTGGGCCTCTTGGGGGCGGGCTTCTTGGAGGCCTGCTGGCGGTCTGGGAGGTCCCGTTGAGACAGAAAGCTGGACATGTAATTTCGAGTTCTGGCTCCAGGGCTCTTTGGGGGCCGTCATGGGCTGTCTTCGGCGCGTCTTGGGCCGTCTTGGAGCCGTCTTGGCACGTCTTGGGGCCCTCGTCGGGGTCGCTGGGGCGATCTTGGGGGCTCGTAGGCTCGCGGTGGACGCTCAGAATCTCAAAAGTCGCATATGCTAGAAGTATTCGCTTCCCCATAGGAACGGGATGGTTTTTGCATATCGGGGCCTTCTTGGAAGGCCTCTTGCCCTCTTGGGCGTCTTTGGGAGCATCGTGGACCGTCTCAAGGCCACTTGGGACGTCTTGGGGCGGTCTGTCGGCGACGTGGAGCCTTCTGGGACCCTTTTGGGAGCCGTCATGTTGTTCTTTGGGGTTGTCTTGGGCCCCTTGGGATTCATTGAAAGCTTCGACTTGGGGGGGGTCTGCGAGGGACCGCCGACAGAGTGGAGGCCCACAGGAGGGACTTCAGGGAGATGTTTCCCCACATCCTGAGTGGGGTTCTTGTTTTCCAAAAATGCCCTCTCCTTCTCCTTCTCCTTCTCCCGCTTCCTGATCCGCATGCCATCGCAAAACCATCCATACCATACCATACCATACAAAACCATAATATAAGATACCATGCAACAGCACATCATATAATTTCGTACCCCTCCCGCCTTGCAGACAGGCCCCGCCTGAGCGAGGAGGGTATTCGCCCGTCCAGGGAGGCCCCGCCTGATCGAGGACAGTATTCGCATACCATGTGATGTATCAGGTTTCGTGCCCCTCCCACCCCTCCAGGGAGGCCCCGCCTGAGCGAGGACAGTATTCGGACACCATGTGATTTATCAGGTTTCGTGCCCCTCCCACCACTCCAGGGAGGCCCCGTCCGAGCGAGGACAGTATTCGCATACGATGTGATTTATCAGGTTTCGTGCCCCTCCCACCCCTCCAGGGAGGCCCCGCCTGAGCGAGGACAGTATTCGGATACCAGGTGGTTTCTCAGGTTTCGTGCCCCTCCCACCCGTCCAGGGAAAGCCCGCCTGAGCGAGGACAGTTTTCGCATACGATGTGACTTATCAGGTGTCGTGCCCCTCCCACCCGTCCAGGGAGGCCCCGCCTGAGCGAGGACAGTATTCGCATACGATGTGATTCATCAGGTTTCGTGCCCCTTCCACCCGTCCAGGGAGGCCCCGCCTGATCGAGGACAGTATTCGCATACCATGTGATTTAGCAGGTTTCGTGCCCCTCCCACCCCTCCAGGGAGGCCCCGCCTGAGCGAGGACAGTATTCGGACACCATGTGATTTATCAGGTTTCGTGCCCCTCCCACCACTCCAGGGAGGCCCCGTCCGAGCGAGGACAGTATTCGCATACGATGTGATTTATCAGGTTTCGTGCCCCTCCCACCCCTCCAGGGAGGCCCCGTCCGAGCGAGGACAGTATTCGCATACGATGTGATTTATCAGGTGTCGTGCCCCTCCCACCCGTCCAGGGAGGCCCCGCCTGAGCGAGGACAGTATTCGCATACGATGTGTTTTACCAAGTTACGTGCCCCTCCCACTCGTCCAGGGAGGCCCCGCCTGAGCGAGGACAGTATTCGCATACCAGATGGTTTATCAGGTTACGTGCCCCTCCCACCACTCCAGGGAAGCCCCGCCTGAGCGATGACAGTATTCGCATACCATGTGATTTAGCAGGTTTCGTGCCCCTCCCACCTCTGCACGGAGGCCCCGACTGAGCGGAACAGTATTCAGATACCATATGGTTTATCAGGTTTCGCGCCCCTCCCACCCCTCGAGGAAACCCCGCCTGAGCGAGGACACTATTCGCACACCATGTGATTCATCACGTTACGTGCCCCTCCCACCCGTCCAGGGAGGCCCCGCCTGAGCGAGGACAGTATTCGCATATGATCTGATTTATCAGGTTTCGTGCCCCTCCCATCCGTCCAGGGAGGCCCCGCCTGAGCGAGGACAGTATCGGACACCATGTCATTTATCAGGTTATGTGTCCCTCCCACCCCTCCACGGGGGCCCCGCCTGAACGAGGACAGTATTCGCATATGATGTGATTTATCAAGTTACGTGCCCCTCCCACCCGTCCAGGGAGGCCCCGCCTGAGCGAGGACAGTATTCGGATACCATGTGATTTATCAGGTTTCGTGCCCCTCCCACCCCTCCAGGGAAGCCCCGCCTGAGCGAGGACAGTATTCGGACACCATGTGATTTATCAGGTATCGTGCCCCTCCCATCGCCCCTCCCACCTCTCCAGGGAGGCCCCGCCTGAGCGATGACAGTATTCGGATACCATGTGATTTATCAGGTTTCGTGCCCTTTCTACCCGTCCACGGAGGCCCAGACTGAGCGACGAGGGTGTTCAGATCTCATGCTGCCTCCTAGGTTTCGGGACCCGTCCACCCGTCCAGCGGAGGCCCCGCCTCAGCTTTATGTGGGGAACTCCGGTAGCATCCAGACGAGTCCTACCAGGCATTTTGTCAGAGTGGTCTCGCACGGCCCAACCCGCAGGGCGGGAGCGGCCGTTTTCAAGGGGCTCACGCCTTTCCGCCGACACCCAGACGGAGCGAGAGGTTGTCTCGATCGTGCGAGCTATCTAGTGGGCCAGGGGCCTCCTTGGATGCATCTGAGGGTCCCTGGGTGCGCCCTTCAGGGGCCTCTTGGAGGGCTCTCTGCAGTACCTGGGGTGTTTTGGGGTGGCCTTTGGGGGACTTTTCGGGGGCCTCTTGGGGGCGTCTTGGGGCCTCTTGGGGGCGCCTTGGCGGCCTGCGGGGGGCTCGTGGGGCCGCTGTTGGGGGGAAAAGACTCGACGCGCCAGTTTGCGGCCTTTCTTCTGCGACCCTTCCGGGCCGTCTCGGGGGCCTTGGGGCCATTTGGGGCCCGTCTCGGGCCGTCCTGGGGCCCTCCTGGGGGCTTCTGGGGCCGTCTTGGGACGGTCTCCTCGGGGGCCGTCTTGGGGCTTCTCGGGCCGAGCTGGGGCTCTTGGGGCCATCTCCTCCAGAGCTGCCTTGGGGCCGTCTTGGGGCTCTTGGGGCTTCTGGGGCCGTCCTGGGGCTTCTCGGGCCGTCCTGGCGCCCCTTGACCAGTTCTGGACGCTGTCAACACTAAAGGAGCGAGCAAACTAAACATGTGCGCCTTCCTGGTGAAGCCCCCGATTGTTGCCTCTTTGGTCAAGCCTGAGGAGGTCCAGGTGAGTGAGCATGCGTGACCAGTGGTATTTATTCATTTCTCCCCAAGGCCTGTCGCGCTTGTGACCGATGCAATTTTCAACTCGCTTCAATGAGCTTGGCATCTGTGACAAACGACAATCGAGCGGATATCCCGCCGTAA